GCGTGATGGATGGTTGGGCTTCGTTGTTTTTGTTGTTCGTGTTGGAGGCATGAACCAGCTTGGTAAAACGAGGATGGGTCTCCGGGAGCCAGAAGTACAGATACGCGGTTTCAACGACGATCAGAAGAAGCGAAACACCGGCCGCTGTCGCAAAGGGATTGGCGGCCACGGTGGTGATGTTGGACAGGGCTGCGCCGAGCGCGGGCCCGAAAGTAAAGGCGATACTGAAACAGACGCCCACCAGGGCCATGGTTGAGCCACGCTGGCTGGGGTCGCTGATATCAGTGGCGATCGCATTTGCGAGCTGCACGTTGCCCTCACTGAGGCCACCGACAATGCGACTGGCGAGGAAAGTTCGGAAGTCGGTCGCGGTAACCCAAAGCGCTACGCTCAGGGTGTTACCGACCATGGAGCAGAGGAGAGCGGTCCTGCGGCCGTGTTTGTCTGACAGGCGGCCAATGAATGGCGCTGCAAGTGCCTGTAGAAAAGAGAACAGCGAGCCAAGCGCGCCACCAAGAAGGACTATGTCATAGCGTGAATCGATGGGTTTCGCAAATGAGTTCTTATAGGCGTTCAAGTAGTGGAACAAGCGGTTGAGGAGCGAGTTGGGAGACGGGTCTTGATTGCGGTAGAAAGTAAGTAGTGAAGGGAAGAGTGGTAGAATGAAAGTGAAGGATATCTAACGCAGGGATGTCAGCATCTGTCTTTCTTTAGCCGGTGAATTGGGGCGCATACCAAATCCAAGAGTAGCGAGGTCATCAAGACCTTGAGGATCTTCTTCCGCTGGTCTGCGGGTAACGCCATGACAGCTAATTGAGAAAAAGCTCAGGCAGGAAAAAGATGAACAAGACAACAGAAATTTGTTCTATCAACAACACTAGAAGAAGAAGAACGGAAGAAAAGGAAAAGAGGGAAGGGTGACTCGAAAGTCGAAGGGTTGGTTGTTTGATGCCGAAGCAACTGGAAGGAGAGTCAAGATGGCCTCTCCCCTCGTTATGTCATAGCCCTATACCCTACCCGCAGCATTGCCTCTTTCAGACAGCTCCGGCGGAGCTCTTACAGTGCAGCACCTACCGAGGTCCTTATCCTCATCTTGCTTTCTCTACACATAAAATGAGCCGAAACCTTCAGGAGAGGAAAACGTCTGCTGTCATCATCTACCTGTTACATCGTTGAAAGCTTCTGATCAAGCTCCGCCCTTGGCCGTCAACAGTCAAGGTATCCTCACTCCTCTCCACCGCAACCCGTCCAAACCTCCGTCTCCATATGTCAACATGATGATCGATCGGAAATAGAATACATGAGAAGTAGAATGCAGGGCTAGTGCAGAAAGCATCAGCGCCTGCAGAAGGAAACGGCCACATCGGAGCGGAATCCACAACCGACATAGAATAGAAGAAAAATCAAAGGGAGAAAATTGCAGAAATCAATATGCACGCTCAATAACTGCAAACATATACAACAGGAACTTTTGGCGAGAAGATCCAAAAGAAGCAGAGTAAAGACAACAGCGAGTAGGGACACCCTGCCATCATCTTCACTCCAAAGAAACCTTGTTGTAAATCATTTCAAGAGTCATTGCGTTCGTGAACCATGACACTCCCGTTACCCATGAGTTTATTAGTATTTCAGAGAGATTAGAGGAAAGGGTGCCGGGCGGAGGCAGAAGAAGACTTGAGAGAGCGAGGTCAAAGAGGCTCGATGAGGGGTTAGGCAGATTGATGCTGGCGTCGGAGTCAAATCGACACAAAGCAAATGCCTCTCGCGGAGACGCACATTGCTCAAGACAGACGGCAGCTTATCAACTCCCAAAAAGCGGCCTCTACTGGCTGGGAGCAGGGGCCGCGGAGGAGCCATTGGCACCACCGCGTCCGCGACCGCCGCGACCGCCGCGACCGCCACGGCCCCGGAACCCACGGCCCCGGCCACCCCGGCCTCTACCACGGCTAGGCTGGCGCTGATGGTGCGAGACGGCTTCGAAGCCGTCTTGGGGCTTGGGGACAGTAACATCCTCGGTGCTGGGCCCAGTAGTCTCAGTCACCGCTGTGTCAACGTTCGCCTCGGCCTCAGCGGCGGCAGGAGTAGCTTGAAGTCCAGTCTCAGTTTCAGCAGGATCCCGTGGCACCTCGACCCATTCGTCAGCGGTAGGCGAAGTCTCCACAACTTCGGTCGCACTGGCATCCCAGCTAGCCTCCGCCACTTGATTGGCGCCGTCGGTAGCCAGAGTCTGAGCAGGAGGGGCAACCTGTTCGGGTTGCTCTGCCGCAGTAGGCTCAGTCGTAGCGGCAGCACTGGAGTCGTAGGATGAGTCCTGCAACTCAGTGTAGCCTGCATTGGCCACAGTAGGGTCTGACTCAGGAGCCGCCTCGGTAGTTGTGGGTTCGGAAGCAGGAGCAAGCTCAGTAGCGAGCTGCTTCACCTTCCCGTCTTATGAGCCAAGATAATTAGCGGCGATTGCTTGAGTCACAAAAGCATCAGTACTTACAGGTGATCTCCAGCGCGGTGCCGTCAACGCCGACGACCTTGTCATCCGCGCCCTCGATGATCTTGAGCATCGAAGACACAGCATCCTGAGTTCCTCCATAAATCTGGTATAGAACGCCTTCAAATGCACGGCTGTCATTTGAAGATTCGTCTCCAGAACGTCTCATAGTGGCGGCGGCGCAGAGGAACTTGCTGAGGCTTAGTAGCTGTTGGCTGAAATCCTTCTTGCTGGCTTCAGCGGCATCCGCATCAGCCTGCTCCCGCAAAGCTGCGAGCTGCTCCTCGTGAGCTTGCTCTAGCTCCGCCTTCTGGGTGGCCAAGCGTTCCTCGTAATAGGCAGCGAATTCCTTGAGGTGGGAAATCTGCTCCTCGATCTGGGCAACAGTGGCTTGTAGAGAGGGCTTCTTCAAGGCCTGTGCCTTCTGGTCGGCATTGATCTTCTTCTCGGTAACAAGCTCATCCAAGGATTTGCCGGGGTTCTCTGCGATGATGGTGTCGACCCTGGCGGTCGCATTCTGTGGGACGAGGCCAGTGTAAGCGGTGAACGACGGTGGAAGCTCTACTGAAGGACACTAACCAGCTTCTTGACAGCATTGCGCAAGCTTCTGTTGCAGCGAATCTAGTTAGTTATTTGACTCCAGAGCTCCATGGTACGGCATTGCGAATGCGCGGAGCGCTTGTCGCTGAAGACGCACCTCTGCAATTCCTTGAAGTGTTGGTTGTCTAAATTGTCCAAGCCGTTGGTGTCAGGCTTCGAGACAATAGAAGGGCTGGAAGCATGATTCGACTTTGCTTTCTTGGAAGAAGCTTCGGGGTGTTGAGCAGGGCTGGAGTTGACAGAAGCGGCAGCCATGGTTGCTGGTTTGGTGTTGTGATGACTCGGAGGAAGTGGTCCAGCACCTAAGCAGACGATGTAGAATAAAAGCTATACGGGAGAGTAGGAAAACAGGGTGGAAGTCTTATGTTGGGGCGCGATGATATGAGCGCACAATTGAGGACAGGAGGAGAGAAATGTTACGGTGGAAGTGGGAAGCGGAAACCAATGAAGCAGAAAGGAAGACTGAGATGGGGATGGGAATGAAATGGGAAATGGGAAAAGCAGCTGGCAGATGCGGGTGGAACTCTTCCGAACCGCCCTCGTCGCGTGCTGCTTGCAGCTCCAGTCACTGGTTCAGCCCCAACACGTCTTGCGACCCAAACATTGAACCATTGCAACAGCTGGCACACTAATCTGCATATTCAAAGAATCTTACACTATGGAGGCGCGTACTGTGCCTATAAGAATTTATTTCAGATCTATTGCAGCTCTGTCTTATACAGAGGTCTTCGTGATGTAAAACAATCCATGCATTGGGTATCAACCGAGTGACTCCTGAATAACGCCTATATAACCCCGAGTCGCCCTGGACTATTTGAACCCAGTCCTCTCTCCATGATAATAGAATTTACTAGAGGCATGGACGAGCAGTCACGGTCCCAAGAGAGTGGGTCGTGAATCTAGACCAAGCTCAACAGCCACCCCAGGTAGCACAAACCCCACAAAGCTGATCAGAGATATGTTCCGGTCGCGCGCTGGCAATGATGCAAGCTTATATTCAAGGCGAACTCGCTCTGCCATCAACCTAGCCCTTGAACTTCCGTAGCGTTTTCTGTAGGTTCAACAGACAAGACGTCAGCATCGACGGGAATCATGCATACTTGCATCGCTGCACCAGGCAAACATACCTCGGTCACTTTGCGCACTGAGTTCGGCGATATATTCTTCTCTCCCACCTTCCGCGACTGAATCGATGATTCCCGCATCAATCTGCATAGTTATCCAGGTTCAGCTGTGAACCATATCTCGATTCCCCCTCGACACGCGCCGTGTTTTGAGAATCATGTTGGGGGGGGATGAAAAGATCATAGTTGACTCACTCTTGCATGAACAACATGTAATCCAGGAAGATCTATAGGTAACAAAAAGCCATTAGACTCTATGTGAAGTCGCAATAAGGGGGCCGGAACCAGGAAACCAACCAAGATATCAGCGTTCTTGCTCACATTACGGTTCGAGTGCGCTTTAACGACACGCTTCACCGTGGCGCGAGGATAAAGCTTCTGCGTTGCTGCCATTAGGGGCGAATGAGCCAGGGCAATAGGTTCGGGGAGGGGAGTTGTTAGAAGCTTAGAGGAAGGTCAGAAGCAATGACGCGAGTGGATCAGTGCCGATAAAGAATCAACAGCCGCTTGACGCCGGCGAGCTTCCGGGACGATAAGCATAGCAAGCTAAGGCGGACGAGAATAATTGTTTACCGCTACGAGGCGAGTAAGGTATTCGAGCCGGGGCGGTCCCCGTGTATTTTACAGTACTTCTGTTCATACATGACAATTCAATTCTGTCTCACTGGAGCATGTAATTGAGAGCGACTACTGTCCAGAAACAGCAACTGCTAGTGTGACTCTTTTTTTCTGTTCCTCCCTTGCTTCAAGAGGAATGCGGGCGAGGTTTGCTGTAGAAAGTCATCTATACGATTGTATGTTCAACTCAGAATTGGTAGATATACAGTATACAGAATAATGGCGAAGTCATCGTTATCATCGGACCTGACGAAGAAATCTCCATGCATAGAAGGCCGCCGTGGAGCCCAAGGCTATCCTCCATGCTACGAAAATATAGAGGGCGAGCCGGAGCCGATCATAGTAGCCTCGGAGCATAATTTCCAGCGCATATGTGCTCCCGTTAAGACCCTTGTCGGAAGGCCCGTAGTATTGACCGACACCAAGTCCTTCGATTCCAATATTGTTCTGACTGCCATTGTCATTGCCACCGATCTCTTTTACTGGCACAGCCGCAGTCTGGGCATCCACCGCAGTATTATTCGGTCGAGCTCCGCTCTCAACCAAGCGCCTATTGCGTTTCCGCAGGCGATATGTAAGCACGTTGATAAGCAGTCGTAGATCGGGTGCTGTGAAGTTAGGATAGTGCCAAAGCTTGACAGCTGTGTGGGGAGGAAGCAGATCCAAGAAGTCTGCCATAATACCCAGCGTCAATCCCCAGAGGAGCAAGGGGCGACTTATTCCAATATCTTGGTCAGCGGGGCTAATGCTACCCCATGAGAACAACCGTCGAAAGAGCGACTGTCTTTGCTCATTTTTGGGGGTTAGCCCGGGGGTTGTGTTGCTTTGAAGGCTCTCTGTTGGGGCCAATCGAATTGCGGGAAACTGCATGTAACCCATCATGGAACGAGACGCAACCCGGGCCATGATGCCTCCCATGTTTGCAAGGCGTTGAGTCATGTCCACATGCTCTACAGTGCGCAGAGAAGACGACAAAAGCGCTTCCAGTGGCACCCAATGGGTCGAGGCCACTTCGGTGGGTTGTAGCTTCAGCGTTGGCGAGTCACTGCATGTTAATAAGAAGACGAAGGGGCATAGGACCATCAGCCTGTAGTTGACAAGATCAGTACAAGGCACTCTCGGAGCTACGATACTGGATGAAGTACATACGGTATTGTGCCCAGGCTCGTCGTTACAATTCTTTCGGGAAGGTTGCCGATGTACACACAATCCTCCGCAGTTAGATCCAGTCCAATCTCCTCTGAGGCTTCCCGAATCGCCGCGCTTTTATCATCTGAGTCTTCGGGGTCTCGCTTGCCTCCCGGGAGAGCAACATGACCGGTCCATCTGTCTCCCACGCGCGAGGCTCGCTTGATAAAGAGCGCCTCTGGTTGGCCATGGTGAACCCACGATTGAGAGAAGAATGTGTCTAGTCGTTGCTGGACAGACGCTGAATTGTCCGTCACCGCCGAAGAGGTAGACTCTGGCCAGTGTTCATATGTAGGTCGGACGCGCAAGATAAGGGCAACCGAGGCACGTTTCTTGCAATTCGGAGGGTTAGGGACATGAGGGTACGGGCGTTGATGGAGGCCGGACAACACGTCATGAAGCGATTGCGTCAAGGGTACGGAGTCCTGTGACGATGGGGAACTGGCTGAATCCATTGGAAGAGGAGATGTTCGGTTTAGAAAGATATAGAAGCGATGTAGAGTTATAGCATAGTCTAGTATGAATATATACACACGACAAAGAAAAGATGCTGGCTGGGAGATATTCCGAAAGAAAGAGAGAGAGAGAGAGAGGGAGATTCTTATCGGTCGGAACATATCGTGGAATTAAATTACCTCGGAGGTGTTTGTTAGTGGTAGATAATGCATTACAAAACCGAGGGAAAGGAAAGTAATTGTGTAATGTTACGGTACTGTAATCTCATGACGGTCCGGGACTGACTTACCTACCTAGTAGCTAGTAGCTCCAAACCCACTTGACCAATGGTCAGCTGAATGACTACAGCGGGGGACGGGCTAGACCCTTCCGGGGAGGCAGAGAGGCAGCACGTGCATGAATATGGCGATGGGATGCAACGAGACCAACGAGACTATATTAGAACACTCTCCATTTCCCGCCTCGACTCGATGGCGATTTCTTAGCGGCTTCTCTTCCTTACCTTCGCCGTCTTAAGTCTGAAAATTTCCTTTCTCCATTGTCATGAGCTGATTCTCACTAACATTAATTGTCTCTTCTTCTCGACCCGCATTTGCCCTCCTCCCTTATAAGAAGTGCCTCTCCCTTCCCGAGTCCCTGTGCAACAACCCTCTCTCCCGGCTTCTCCTCTTGCTTCTCCTCCGTTACACAGTCTTCGATCCCAACCACTGCCAAGCTTCGCCGCATTCTGCTCGACCATGCGCTTTGGCAAGACCCTTCGGAAGTCGATCTATCCGCCATGGAGTGGGAAATATATTGATTATCACAAGCTCAAAGTCCTTCTTAGAGAGCATGATGTCATCGGAAACGATAGCGATTCCGACAATGCCCCGTGGACGGAACAAGATGAGGAGGCATTTGTCCAGGAGCTCCTGAACGTCCAACTGGACAAAGTCAATGCCTTCCAGGTCGGAACCTTGAAGCAGCTGCGGGAACGAACTGCCGATTGCGAGTCCAAGCTACGAGAATTGACTGATGCAGCCCAGGATGAGGCTGCCACGGAAATGGACGATGCGGAAAAGAAGCGCATTGCGTCAGGCGTCCTGCAGGAGCTGGACAGCATCACTCGAGAGGTTAGCGAGCTGGAGAAATACAGTCGGATTAACTTCACCGGCTTCCTCAAGGCGGCTAAGAAGCATGACCGCAAGCGTGGAGCACGGTATCGTTTGAAGCCCTTGTTGCAAGTGCGTTTATCGCAACTTCCATTTAATTCCGAGGACTACTCTCCTCTAGTCCGCAGACTGTCCGTGATGTACTCCTTTGCCCGTGAAATCCTGAGCAAGGGTCTGGTTGAGGCCAAAGACCCTGCTGAACCTCGCTTTGGTCAAGACATGTATTCCTCCTTCAAGTTCTGGATTCATCCCAACAACGTCCTCGAGGCCAAGACCTATATCCTACGGCAGCTGCCCGTTCTGATCTATAATCCTGGGACCTCCAAGGACCTCGATATCCTCCCCGACGATCCTACAATCACCTCTCTATACTTTGACAACCGACAGTTCGACCTTTACAACCAAAAGGTCGCTCGTGCTGCCGAAGCCGGGTCTCTACGACTGCGATGGACCGGGAATCTGCAGGACAAACCAGCCATATTCTTGGAGAAAAAAATAGTGTCGGACGACAATCGCAGCCGAGAAGTGAAGATTCAGCTCAAACAAAAACACGTGAAGGAATTCTTAGACGGAGAGTACCACTTTGACAAAAAGCTTCAGCGGATGGAGACCATGGGCAATGGTGAATCGGAGCAAGCAGAGTCCTTCAAGCAGGATATCGAGGAACTGCAGTCCTTCATCAAGGAATACAATCTGCAACCGATGCTTCGGGCCAATTACACCCGTACGGCGTTCCAAATCCCCGGAGACGATCGGATCCGAATCTCCCTCGATACCAATCTGGCTCTAATCAGGGAAGACTCGCTGGATGAAGGTCGTCCCTGCCGTGAGCCTGATCAATGGCATCGCACAGACATTGATGATGCAGGAATGGAGTACCCCTTCAGCAGCATCCGGACTGGCGAAATTGTTCGCTTCCCTTACGCGCTCCTGGAAATCAAACTCAAGGGCACTGCAGCGCACAGTGCCGAATGGATCAAGGATCTCATGGTCTCCCACCTTGTAAAGGAGGCGCCACGGTTCTCGAAGTTTGTCCATGGTGTGGCGCAGCTCTTCGAGGACTACGTTAACAGTTTTCCGTTCTGGCTTGGTGAGATGGAGAATGACATTCGAAAGGACCCAGAAACCGCTTTCCACGAAGAACAGGAGCGGCGAGCGCAGCGAGCAGAAGACGATATTGCAGTTGGAAGTTTCCTCGGCAACAAAGGTTCAATGACGGTGAGGCCTCTGGTGGGATCACCCGTACAGATGTTCACCGACATATCCTCTTCCCCTCGCCGTCGACAGTCGTCGCAGATGCTACCGCCCTCGCAGCGGCCCTCGGCTCCAGAAATAGCCCGCGTGCCTGAGCGTCCGGAGCCGCCCAGTCCGCAAGACCAAGAAGTCCAGCTCGAGGACCAAGAGCCGGAACATCCCATGACTCTGAAACGCCTAGCCTCTCTCTTCCCAACCTTCTCCGCCGCGCGGAACAACCGTGGTCCCCGAAATTCAGTCGTGCTGCCTCCCGGCGTTCGGGAACCAGGCACGTGGATTAAGGACTCTGGACCTGTCCGTGTCGAGACCAAGGTCTGGCTCGCCAACCAACGTACCTTCATCAAGTGGCTCCATATTAGTATTCTTCTATCATCGCTGTCGTTGGGCCTGTACAACGCAGCCGGAGAGCACAATGATATCGCCCGCGCGTTATCAATTGTCTACACGGCCTTTGCTATCTTCGCCGCCGTCTGGGGGTGGTACATGCACGAGAAGCGGGCCAAGCTCATCCGGCAACGGAGTGGACGGGACTTGGATAACACATTTGGACCGATTGTTGTTTGTATTGGATTGGCGGTTGCTCTGGTGTTGAACTTTGCCTTCAAGGTAGGCGCAGGTCGCTTGGTGTGGACAAGGGGTTCATCCGCTAACCTAGTATATAGTACAACTCCACCCTGGAGAAGATCCGTGACCGCCAACCTCCAGCTAGTCTTCCTCCATCTGCTAACCTTACCGGGTTCATCGACAAGCCGAGCGTGTGGCAGCTGGTTAATCAAGGCGGTCAAGCCTTGTAACGAGGCTTCCCACCTAGTCTCTTGAGTCGCTGATTGCTTGTAAATGGTTGCGTTTGCATTTGCAGGAGATCCCAAGCTCCTGTTTGAAGTAGAGGCAAACGAGTGTCTGGACATGTCAGCCTTTGATGTATTCGTAGAATGTCTTTTGGGAATGTGAAAATAGCGTTATGTCGGGAGTCAACCAGGAACATGGGATAAGAGATTCAATCAAAATGAATGATGTTTTCGCTCGCTTAAGGACACCAGTATCTGAACCCGAACTCTATCGCTATTCTGCACCTCGGAAATCATAACGGGCAACTACATATACCGGCTCGTGGCGGACCCCTGCGACAGCAACGGGGCCTGCTCGGCATCCGGGTCATTGGGCGCACGATCCCCCGGCGTCGACGGCCGTCCCTTCGCGGCCGTCGCATACAGCACACTGGGGACGAAGCCTTCAAAGCTCTCTCTTTGGCAGCAACTAGCGTGTTAGTCTTTTTGTCATGGACTAAATCACCAGGGTTGGGGGAGAGGGGGGGGGACGACGCACCGATCAAAGAACCCGACAAACAGCCACAGATACACCGTTCCCAGGAACGCAATCACCCACTCCAGAATCCCGGCGGCCCGATAATCGCTGACGTTCTCGGGGACGGTGAGTGAGATGAAGGCGATCCCGAGGAAGAGCTCTACCAGAATCAGGGCGGTGGATAGGGAGGCACTGCAGACGTTCTGGGTTTAGCCACGCGCCTCTGCCGTCAAGCGAGCTCCAGAAGACCTAGCACAACATGTCACCCTCCTCCACCATTCAGAGCAGAAATGAATGCAGGAATGAAAGGAAGGAAGAGAAGGAGTGACTTACAAAACGCGTACCCGGACCTTGCGCCCCTCCCCCCATCGGGGCTGCCACACACCGCCATGCGTCAGGAACGCCACAAACCCCAGCACCTCGGTCGAGTACACGACCGCCGTCCCGAAGGACTGCAGGGCCAAGCTCCCGAAGCAGACGCGGAGGAGGATCGCGTGCGCGAAGTGGTACCGGAAGGTATCCATGACGCCGAGGAAGATGAGGGCGGTGCTGGCCATGCCGGCGGAGAAGATGGCGAGGAGGGAGATGAGTTTGAGGGTGGCGATGGTCGCGGGTGACTCGTCGTCGTCGTCAGCCTCATCTAGAGTATGATTGCTGTCATGGATAGGGCCGTTGTATGGCGTCACTGAGGCCGGTAATTGATCTCTGCCCGGAGATGATGCGTGCTGCGGACCCAAACTACGAGCGGAGAAGTGGTCCGGGCCGCGGATCAATGCGAAGCCAGGCTCGTAGCGCATGACGTGAACAGCAGCTACGGTGAACCAGAACCCGACGGCGGTCATGGAGGCACCGATCAGGAAGAGGGGCTTGAGTTCAAAGGAGGCGATGTCCGAGATGAAGCTGGTGGTTGCGCTTGGTTAGTCTTAGTGGCATTGAAAGAAGTAAAGGCAGCACGCACGCGACGTGTGGGTTGCTTTGGCCTGGGTACTGCGGCATGCCTCGAGCCAGCCATGTGAGCAGCAAGCTGGCAAGGGTCAGGCACCAGACTGAGCCTGCTAAGGAGGGGAATATGGGCAGGCGAGAGGGTGGGATGTTGAGGATGTTGACATGCAGAAAGGACCAGATGGTATCATGGCAGCGAAGAAGGAAAGACGTGATCATGAAGACTGAATGCGGAGAAAGGGCTCCAATTCGAAGAGACTGTATTCTTAATTCTTAAGAGTGTACTCTATTGCAAAGAGAGAGGGGGGAAAGAGGAGGGGAGAAGTAATCCGGGAATCTGATAAAAACAGGGCGATGTATGAGATGGCGGTCAGCTGATGGTTAACGACTGCCTGCGACTATCACTGCGAGCAATTGCGACTGTGGTATCGCATCAAGGCTGCGAACAGGCATTGTATCCTCCTCTTGATCAGCAGCTATTTCTGCCATGTTCCAGTGGGAAATCCATAGTGGGAAGCAAAAGCATGAAGCCAAGACATTGTTTAAAAAGAAATCAACATATACAAAACATAAAATAACGGCCCAGATGTGGATCCGTCAGTTGACGTCACTGGCGGGGAAGATTTCTCCCGATTGTTGATTGTTCAGAAAATCTCTATACCAAGTATACCAAGTATACCAAGTAGTCGTAGTCACTCATGGGCCAAAGCAGCTACAGTACCGTACACTTGGATGACACTCACGGGTATATGTCTGTATTTATTTCCTCCCATCCAGACGCAGCATCGGGCATTTATAAGCCCAACGCCCCGAGCAGACCATCTTTGGCATCTGCTGACAAATCGGCTCCAACGAACATTGCCCACCAGCAACAAATAAGAATAGGCAGTGCTTGTCAAATGCCCGAGGAAAAGGCCCGACGAGAGAGAGCGAGAGAGAGTCAGAACGGAGTCATCCACAGTCGCCAATTGGCCAGGCTGACCATTGTGACCGTTAGCGTGGTAACTACCGTAGTAGATCTGCTGTGTATCGGACTCAATCCATCTGGAGACTTTTTGAACTCATACCTCACCACCACGGAGAGACATCATTCCAGCCACAAACTCCCCGAATTGTCAGTCCCTCCTATATAGTCGCGTGCACTTCTTATCGGCAGCCTACCCATACTCCCAACCCTTCACTCAACCGAAACATAATAATCATGACCAACTTCAACATCCAGATCATCTCCGACACGGTGTGTCCGGTAAGTCCTCCAAAACATCCCTATATCCCGTTCCCAACCCCAGCTAATCAAGAATAGTGGTGCTACGTCGGCTACCGCCGCCTCAGCCGGGCCATTGCCCAGCACAAAACCTCCCACCCCAGCGACACCTTCACCCTCAGCTGGCACGCCTTCTACCTGCACCCGGAGGGGCCGGGCTACCCGGGCCTCGACAAGCGGGAGTCCTTCCGCAAGAAGTTCGGCCAGCAGCGCGCCAGCGCCATCATCGAGAGGCTGACCTCGGTCGGCAAGACCGAGGACATCGACTTCAGCTTCGGGGGCCGCACCGGCAACACCCGCGACTCGCACCGCCTGCTGTGGTGGGCCGGCCAGAAGGAGAAGGCCGAAGCCAGCAGCAGCACCGCCGCTACCGCCGCCGCCGACAAGGGCGTGGTCGGCGGATTGCAGACCCGCGTGGTCGAAAAGCTGTTCCGCGCCTATTTCGAGGATGAGAAGAACATCACCGATCCCGCCGTGTTGACCGAGGCCGCCGTCGGGGCCGGCTTGGACAAGACCGCGGTCGAGAAGTTCCTCGCCTCCGAGGACGGCGGGAAGGAGGTCGACGTCGAGGCCTATGTGGCGCAGCGCCAGTTGGTGACCGGGGTCCCCTACTTCATGATCAATGGAGAGTATGCGGTGCCCGGGGCGGATGAGCCCGAGACTTTCTTGGAGGTATTCGACAAGGTGAAGAGTGCGTGATGTATGGGGATGAGAGATTGCTGTATGCGGGAGTTAAGTTTATGTTTATTGGTACGGGTAAGATTAGATAGATTCTTCATTTGAGCAAGTCTGGGGTAATGCCGGAGATAACCGAGGCTATCCCATTCATGAGTCAGAAATGAAGCAAAGTAGTCTCGCAATTAGCTGTCCTGTAGCTATGCCATCCTCTAAGGCACCGCCTATGGCGACTAACTGGGAAAGGAAATAGAGGTCCGCTCAAACGCCACAATCATGCAAGCAAAGAACTACTACAATAGAAAAAGAAGTCGAAAAAGTTCCATCCCAGAGCGAAGCGAGAACAAAGAAGCCCCCAGCAAACGAAGCGCAACATAATACATGGTTAGAGAAGTGGGGTGTAGGGTGCGTCAGCCTGAGGACCGTGATAAGATGAACACCGCAACACCGGGGTACAGAAAAAGAGACAGGAGCCGAGCCCAGGAGATATTATCATGACAGTCGTTCAAGCCGGTCGAAGGTGTAACAGGCATTGGTGGGTCATGGCGGGCATCCGGGATCTGACGAACAGAGGGGAGAAGTTGGGAAGCAAGGAGGGCGAATTGGAAGCATGTCACATCTAGTAGACGCTAGACTGCTGCAGTTTGAAGTCGGGGATGTAATCGAACCAGTCCGTGGTCGCGTTGTAACGGTAAGCCTTGAACTCCACCCCATAGGGCTTGGGTTCCAACATGTAGAGCATGCCGAGGGGTACATCCAGGGAAGCGACTTCATCACGTTTCAAGCCACGGAAGTAGGCCAGCAGAACGCGCGCCACAGATCGGTGGGTGACAAGCAAAATGTGATCAGTCGTCCGCTCCATCTCGATGATCACAGCGCGAAGACGGTTGATCACGTCCAGATAACCTTCACCGCCAGGCCCGGGGTAACGGTAGAAAAGCTTGTTCTTGCGACGAGCTTGATATTCCTCAGGGAACTTTTCACGAATCTCATCGTAGGTCATACCCTCCATCTCACCAGCGTAAAGCTCGTCAAGCATTTTCATCTGCTTCACGTCATAGTCATCTTCATTGAAGTAGTCGACAGTTTGAATCGAGCGCTGCATCATTGAGGACCAGACGCAGTAATTCCGGGGGCGGTCACAAGGGATGTAGGAGGGGTTGGGAGGAGTGCTGTCGCCAGCGCGGGGTGGTAGGTGTCGGAGCATCTCCTTCTGTCTCTGAATAAGCTCCCATTGTCGCCGCTGGTGGTCGATGAACCGAGTCAAGGCCTTGGCATATCGATGGCCATTCTCGCTAAGCTCCGAGTCGCCGCCAATGCGACCCAACTGGTTATCCTTACTCTCACCGTGTCTCGTGATCCAGATCTGACGAGGTGAAAGGTTGAAGTTGAGCAGATAGTACACAACCTGCGAGGAAAGGAAACCATGTGTCTGATGAGCCACAATTTTGCGTCCAACGTCAATCATCTGAATGAAGGCCATATTGTTCTTCTCTTCATAGTCGCCCAGCGGAACATACGACTTCTCATACAGCGCCACGCGCTGCTTGAAATCGGCCAGCGCCTTAACAGGGTCTTGGTCCTTGTAATCCGGACCGGAAAGTTTCAGGCGCATGTTGGCTTCGAGAAGCTCTTGATCCACACAGCTGCTTTCGAGGAAGAGGATGTTCAATTCCGTGCCGGCACGCTTGCGAATATGATCAACGATTGTCTTCCGACGCTCCATAGTGCTGTTCGTGGCATCGAGAATGCCTACACTACCTCCCTGTTCAAGAATGTACTCCAGCAGCTCGTCCAGCGTGTCCAAAGCCACCTGTTCTCTCAGCTTCACGGCGAGTTGGTTCTGAGGGTCGAAGAAGTTGGCGGACTGGTCGATGGGCTCGGGGGATGCTTCGCGCATGGCTTCCTGGTCCTCAAGACCTGCATTGAACGGGGGTACGATCGTGCTTTGTGAAGGGTCCTCCTCCTTGCCGTTGACCAGGATTTTGGTGGGACACGCAGGAGGCGGAAGCTGGTTCTCGAGTTCCGGGGGCGAAGCCACTACTTCGTTCGAAAGGGCGGAGGCACCTTCGGGGCGCCGGACGTCCTTATGCGACGGTTGGTTGGAGGTGCCAACGCTGACGCTCAGCCGGCGGACCGAATCGACAAGCTCGCTGTGAATGACGCTGGCTCTGTGGCTAGGACGGCGTCCCGCGACAGAGGGAGACTTGCCAGCGGCCACACGACGACGATTGCCGACGTTGAAGATCTCAGTATCATGCTGAAGCCAATTCAGGTACCGCGCGAGTTTCTTGGTGACGTAACTCTTTCCCCGGGCAGGGAGGCCGACCATGACAATGACGAGCTTAGATCCGACATCTCGCTGGGCGATTCGTCCGTCGGGGGAGACCTTCGACTTGGTAAGACCGGGGATGTCGAGTGTAGTTGCACGCACGCGACCGGGAAGGTTGGGGGTGGATGTGTTGGCAGGACTAAAGGCAGTCGGTTAGTTTGAGATGTCCTCAGCTTCGGCTTCATCACCCCGCGCATTGCGACCGGATGTCATCAATACAAAAATCGAAGAGCGTATCGTGTCAAAGCTCTCGTCGAAAGATTTGACCGACAATTGCTGCAGTTGGGGGAGGTAGGGGGAGGGGGGACCCTGAGCCCTGAGGAAAGGTGACCATCCTCTAAATGCCGGTACGAAATGACCCGACTCCAGAGCAAACCGCCGATCCTTCCCCAGGCTGCGGCAAAAATCTAGAATGCTCTTCCGGGCAGAGTCGACTCAATCGAGACGTCTAGGGAACATATGCAGGAAGGCTAACCAACGAGCAGACGAAAAGATAGGAAATACATACAATTGTGGAGACGAGGGTGCGGTAGAAACCGGAGTGTCTGTTAGGGCGAACCCGACACCATCCTTGGAGGCTTGGGATCCCTTGTGGGCATCGGAGGAATGCAGTTCGTTTCCTAGCGCTCGTCCGACTAGCGATTTCGCCGGAGGCATAAGATTCGCCTCTTTCCCGGATCCCGACTGTGTCGGGGGTCCAGTATGTTTTTTCCCGTCGCGTTGGTGATCCGGGACTGAGGCGCAGGTCATGATGGCCGAACGCGCAATATCTGTGTGTTGAGACATCCCCGCAAGTGGCGCAGGGACGCAGCCTGAATTATGAGAGAGAGAACGATGGAAGTAAGGTATCAAAGTGGGGGGATTTTCCACTTGAAGTTACAAGAAACGGCGCGAGTCTCTGATAAGAGAATCAAGGGAAAGAGAGGGAGCAGTGAGGGAAGAACGATACAGTGCAGGCAGTCAGTCGTGGCCAAGAGTTGGAGGGGAAAAAAAGAATGGGAAGTCGCGCTGTGGTGTGGGCGGATGAGTCAAATCCACACACAACGTCACTGTTGGCAAAGCTCTGTCGTTGTTCGCAATCTCAAACAACAACCACCAAAACAACAATAACAACAACAACAACAACGCAACCCAGCGCAATCATCAGACTTCCAGAGACTTATAGACTCAGGGAGTCAACTGCGCGATGTCGAAATCTCTCAGAGAAAATAGGGCGAAGAGATAGCCAGGGAACATGCAATCAAGGAAAGGGACAGCCAATTGGGGGCGTGGGATGTAAAGCAAGGCTTCTTCTGATCCGAATGTTCCGCGCCACCAAAAAAATATAAGAGTAAGATTGATAGGGTATACTCAGAAGGAGTACCGCGCAGGTGAGAGAACAAAGTGGTTCCAAGCAATGGCAGGTGAAGGTTCACGCACGAGTCTAATTGATTTGATACAAGGATGAGGACCACCAAGGGTTGGAAGTTGGAACAGCAGTCCATATAAGCTTGGGGGGGGCTTATAGGCTATAGTTAGCTTACCTAGTAGTAAAGTAGTCTAGTGATAGTTGATGAAGTCACTGGGAGTCGCTTAGTTTCCTAAGGGTGTGGATCGACCGAGGGATCTGCTGCACTGCTGCACTGCTGCACTGCTGGAACTGCTACCCCAATGATCATAGATGATGTCAATTTTCTATTATCCTCTTCCTGTCTGAGACAGAGCCCGCGACAGCCCGATAGACATTTAAGTACTCTGGCCCACCCCACCGGATGCATAATTCCGATCCAGGGCCTCTCACTCAAACTGCGCCCAGAAGAACCAGAATGCTTGGCCCAGCAAGGGTGGACGAAAAGGAGTCATCATCATCACAGCTCAAATCCTCAACAACACCCGAGCACGAGCCCTGCTGTTGAGATGCCCAGAATTCGCCAAGATGCTCACCACACTTTGTAGCAAATCTGCGTCAGATCTTCAGCTGCCGCTGCAGCTGCATGAAGGCGGCATATCAAGGCAGAATCCGTTCAGCTGATAACCACCAGCCCAGAACTCAGCCGACCAAATGCAGTGGGATCCGACTGTGTCTTCGTGCTGTATGCTAGGTTATATAACTAATATTGAATAACTTATAAACTGCCGGTGGGATTCAGGCTCAATACTCGAACAAGGTCACACAAGGCTTGGACGGTCGCACCATCACGTTGTTTGCCAAAGATACTAGCTGCGGTACCGCGAAAGTAGACCACGATCCTATCCCAGATGGCATGACATCGGAGAATGTGGATGGCTTCTCTGGACGGCGTCAATCGACACCTAGCAGCAAGGGGGGGTGGACGTGGACCAATGACCTCCTGTCCCCTGCAGGGTATTGAGGGGATACAACCGATGCTCAGGACTTATTGATAGTAGTACCAACTGAACGGTAGAGAGCTCTAGACCATGTCTTATCTACAAGTCCTTGAATAGATGCTTCCATACCCCACTGAACCACCCCCGGTCCTTTTCCCATGCCTTGACAATCAGATCTCTGCCCAAGTGGATAAGGTCCGCAACCTGCTCCGGGGTCCCCCAGCCCCGAATCATAGGACCGAATGTGATGCAATGAACACCGACATGAATCAGGACCCAGAAGGCGAATGCCTCATTTGGCACGTGGTACTTGCCGAGAAAGCCTTCAATCATCCACGGCCCAGCATCGATGCCTCTGAAATGCTTCAGCATATACAATTCGGCAAGCATCTGGCCCAGATCCCACGCCCGAGGGCCGAAATGACAGAGCTCCCAATCCACAACGAAGAGAGAGGTCTGAGGGCTCGGATCTAGTGCCGCCTGGGAAACCAGAATGCTGTTGTCGCATCAGCCTCTCCAAATCTCCAATGGCAGCGGAATCTCTTTCCGGTGAGAAAGAAAGATGACCTACTTTCCCGACCAAAAGTCCCCATGGATGATGCCATACTCGACTTCACCCTTCTTTTCCACCTCAGCCGCCGCCGCTAGCCGCACCTGCTCGAACACCTCGCGGGCTTCGCCCAGCAAAGCAGGATACTGATCGATTCTTGCCGCGAGACTGCCGTAGTTGACGGAGAGCTTCAAGTTCCGCATCGCGTGATTCTTTTCCAGTTCTGCGACCACGGCCGCCTGGTTCTTCTCGTCGGTCCATCGATGAAACGCGCACAGCCAGGTGCCCAGCGCCTTGCCAATCGAAATGGCCCATTCCTGGGAGATGGTAGTCGACGCAGCTGAGGAGGATATACAGAATGTCTTCAAATCCAGGGAATCGGGGAGATCCTCTAGGACGGCGGTGTTGGTGTCGGGATGGAAGGTGAAGAGCCGAGGAGGCTTGACTGTGATAGCTCGATTTTCAGACTGCCCCGTCATGACCGCTGTGCTGGGGAGCCCCTTGAGGGCCTTCAAGCTGGCCTCCTCAAAGAGCTGCGTGGCCCGTCAGCTATCCAGTTACGAACTTCTCCAGACAGTGAAAAGGAGGGGGGGGGTTACACAGCGCTCAGCAGTCAGTTCCAAGTTCCGATTCGCAGCTGCATAACCCTCTGAGTGCTTGATGATGACGCTTTTCGTGCCATCCTCAAGGGGTCGGGATAGCAGTCCTCGGAAGACGAAATTGACGGTTCCTCCGCTTAGGCGCGTGAGGGACGAACATGCATACCGCGTGTGCTCCAATTCGCGGGTGATATTGAGTTTGAAGTTATCTTCTGGCTTTGCGTCCATGTTTTTTTTTTTTTTTTTTTGCGGAAGGGGGGATTTTTCACTGATGGGCCGCTATGCTTATATACTTGGGAAATGGCCAATCTGGCGGGGTCCAGAAACGGGATGGCGTAGTAGGGCCTTTGACTATTGGCAGTGGGTAATTAAATACTTTTGATTGATTGATTGATTTGATTTATACATACTTCGCTTGAAAGAGTCGACCTATGATCAAAGCTTGGCGAGCGGGGTTCTTGTTAGGTTGGGGGAGAGCTACTCACTGACTCATTAACTCACTGCATTATACTATACTTCCTGTAAGTGACAGCAAGTGACATGTCACTCTAAGATTTTAAGCTTTAATTCAGATTTCGATTTGAGTCAGTCTTTCCCAACACGAGCTGAGTTGTTTTGTTTTGAGTCATTCATCAACTCTGAACTACCCGAGTTGCCTTCAGATTGGTGCACGTCAGCATCAAGCTGTATAAATAAATGGTGCTGGTGTCTACTATTAATCTTTGGTGCGCCACCCAGTGCCCTTGTTCTAGGCTCTGGATCTGGTCCAGGTGAAGTCTATCTAAGAGTTGATCTTTGCTCCGATTTTGAGCCATATGTTAAGCCTGTTATGGCCGATGATAAGTTACCTGGTAGTTAACACCCCTGCCCATCAACTTGTAAGTGTATGGCAGCAGCAGCACTTCTGCGCAGCAAGACAATACACCTCTTTTGAATAACCCTCATCTTGAATCCAGCCCATCAACCCTAAGCATCCAACCCAGCAACCACCAAATATGATTTTTTAGCGCCCAAATTTGAATACGCTTCCTCATCCTCTCCGACACGTATAATATTGCTCTCCCACCCGACTACCTTATCAACCACCAAGCCGACGTCGTCATCCCCTGCGGCAACTGGAATCTAACCCAATTTTCTAAACTCGACGAACTCCAAGCCTTTATTGACCTTTTTTACCAAAACGACGCCCCACTTAAGCTCGCCATCCCCGACACCCACGACTTTATTGTGGAGGGATTGGAGGAGGTCCTGTTGTGGCAGCCTTTTTGGCTGGTTGAGTTGAAGCTTCCGCGAGCAACATAGAACCGGGTAATGCGGGGGTTGTACGATAGACAAGAAGTTTTGACCAGATGCCTGAACTCAAGGGGCTTGCTGAGTTTTGGGAATGCTGTGCCTGAGCTGGTCTAACTAGAGCTGCTGAATGGTATGACTCTTGAACGGACGATGGGGAAGGAAAGTCGGCGGGGTGCTCAGTAGAAGTTGTGACTGCGTTGTTGAAGACGAAAGAGTTAGGGTTATCTATTGATCTAATGAGTCACCTTTCACCATTGGGGGCAGGGTGAGGACAGAAAGTCGGGTAGTGCGGGAGAAAAGAGATCGAGTTCACTAGGGACTCTTTCCATTCCGGCTGGTTATAGTTCCTGCACGCCCTTTCCCCTTGGCGGGGTCCACTTGTTGTGGTGGCTTATACGGTTGAAACGGAGCCCACCACGCCTTACGACGCCTTAGAGGCGTGAATCCGATGAGATGAGATGAGAGATGACACACATACGACTGCTATATACTTACTTATATGGATTATTATAAAGCAAGTATCATGATTCCTCCCTGCTTCTTCACAGGCTGACAGCCATCCCCACCATGTCCACCAGTGGTGTCAATCTATGCATCAAGGCCATCCGAGACCTATGGACCCGGAAGAGCGTGAATATCTCTATAGACTTGGTCGGTGAACAGGGAAACACAATCAATACCTACACAACCTCAGACCACATCAGTGGAACCGCAGCCATTACAGTCGAGCACGATGTGGACTTTGACCATCTTAATATCACATTTGAGGGTAAGCAGCAATGATGAAAGCCACTGCCTTGCGCATCAGCTGAACCCACGCAGGTATCTATCGGGTGTACAACGAGCGAACCGGCCCTCCGCATACCGATCGACGAATCGGTGCTTCCAGGACATTCCTCAAATTGCAATATCCTCTTCCCACCACCGTCTATCCCTCGCCGCGGCAGTTCAATAAGGGTGAAACTTATACCTTTCCCTTCAGCTTTGTTGTTCCGGACTGCATAGAACCTCCTGTTTGCACATCGAAGCTCGATGAGGCCCATACACAGCTTCCACCGACCCTTACAGGCAGCAGCAGTGATGATTTCACTCCGTCTATATGCGAAGTCATATATGCAATTCAGGTCCGGATAGTGCAGGGATCCAGGAAGAAAGCACTAGCAGCCCATTCGAAGCAAGTGAGGGTGGTCCCGGCCGATAGTCTGACACATTCAGGCCTAGGTGGAAAAGCGAATGTGGAGGGCCAACAGATCGATCCGCAGATACTCGAGCAAGCAATTGGTCAGGTCACCTTAATTGCGTCTCAGCCACCGCCTATTCGGCCTTTTGCGCCAGAGTACGTGGTTTCGAAGGATATTTGCTCAATTGCGGTGCGAGTCCGATTCAATTCCATTGGTCGCGTACCTCCACCACGTCTGAAGACTCTTTGTACTAAGCTTGAGGTGTCAACCCCATACACTTGCAATCCTGAACTTCAGGTGAGCTGTCCTCCCACAGCTGGCACTGATCATTTTGTCAAGTCCATATCATTGTCCTCTGTCTGTATGAGGTCGGTGCAATGGCAATGGGCCAGGCGAAGTCAGAAAGATAATCTCGCCAATGATAATTCCCGGCACCTTGACTGTGCCGATGAGTGTTACGAGGCCTCGCTTGTCGTTCCGATCACCCTTCCTAGGGACAAAGTTCTTGTCCCTTCGTTTGCTTCTTGTCTTATCAGCCGGGCTTATACCCTCAAACTATCGGTCTCCTATTCCTCCTGGGGTGCATCGCCATTCTGTTCATCCGTTCGGCTCGACATTCCATTGAAGGTGATCCCAATTGAGGGTTAGGTTGGAATGCCACACAAGCGGTGCGATGACGAGCGGAATAACAATGAGGGAGCATCGTAGCCAGTCTGAACTCAGGAAAAAACTTCTGTTTGTCTCCTCGTAGCACCAGTGTTCGCACTAGATGCGCCATTTCGTACATAGTTGTCCTTAGTCTTGTTGTGCTCTATCATCACGCAATATCTAAATTTGGTCCCTGATCTTCGTCGTGAAGGGAAAAATCATCCAGATGATGCAGCATCCCATTTATCTCAGAATCTGCCACGTTATCGATATGCTGGCGTCTGAAGGCAGCAATCCACTTCGGATTGTCGAAGATGGTCTGATTCCAAGAATCTTCGCAGTCGTAAACCAGTCGCCTCGACTCCTGCTGCAGCATTTCATCCGTAGGTATAATCCCCTTGTCCATCTGCTGACGCGCGAAGCGACTCAGATGAAACACAAGGACCTCAATCATATCGTTCCCTGACCCAGCACTGAGGGACTCTCCGAGGGACCCTAGCTGGCCGTCGACATTCAGTTCACGGTCAGGGGCATTCAGCTCGCTCGTCCCCAGTCGTGATTTTATCTGGTTGAGATGGTCGTAGTGGTGGAAGTTTGTGGCTGAGAACGGCACAAGAACACGCGAATCCGCAGCAATGTGGTACGGTGGCAGCGAGTTCACCACAAGTTTAGCAATAGCCGGAGGGAAGTCATGGTCCCCTCGCCAGTCGTCCATTGTCGATCCACTGCGGAAGTGATTGCCGAGATGATCGACTCGCTCTTCCCAGGACGACAACCTCTGGTCACAGAAACCGCAGCGAGACGTAACTGGAGGCCCTTGGACCTTCCAATCATCGATCTGAGGTAGAGTCTCAAGAAGATGCGTCCGTCGCAGATGTTGGACCAGATGGTCCTTGCGACGGAAAGTGCGCGTGCCACCCATGCAAGGCTCATACTTATGTTCGTTAAGGTGTTCCGCTGTCGGGTCTGGCATGTCGCAAAACGCGCAATGCCTTCTCCCAGTAGAAGGAGAAACTACCGTCCCGCCTTGGGGTGCACAGACCCATTCTTCCAGGTTCAAATGGAGAGACTTTTCATGTCGAGCCCAGTCATATTTGGTTCGGAACTGATCGCAACAAAAGGTGCAACAAAACAGACGGCCTTTTTCCCCGGGATTCATTTTCGCACTCCTGCCCTTACGCACGCGTCCAGTGGCGCGCTTTCTGGAAGACCGTATCGGACCTTGGGACTTCTGGGAGGTTGCCGATTTGGCCGAGGTGGAGGAGGGCTGCGAAGAGACACTGCGGGCGCTACTTTGTGAGCTAGGTATCGACGTGGTTCGATGCCGGTAACCCTTGAAAGAATCATGCAATTGACCCAGGCTTCCAGTCCCCGTTCCGTGGCTAATTCTTTGGTCATAGGTTGTCGGGAATTTTCTCAGGGATTCCATGATCGCTGACAGCGAAGCCGGTTCATCTTCCGGCGGGGAATCTTGCCACCGCTGTAAAGGACCTGCGGCAAATTGGGGGTTTGGAAAGTAGGCTGGGGCGACATTCGTCCCTCTGCCTCGTATCGCATATCGACTTTTTCGTCTGGGGAGCGTGCGTTGTGTGTCCAGGTTGAACATGGGTGGCGTGGTTTGGGTGGGCACTAAGAGCGAGGGGCTGCCAAACCCAGTATCCAACACGGACGAAGCTACCTGACTATCGTATGAGGCATGGAGTGAAGTGTCTTGTAGGCTGTCGGAACGACACTGAGGGTTAAAGTCATCTAATCCTTCAAGGCTCGGCGCCGGCCACAGTTCGCTTTCTATTTCTTGGATGGCGTGGTTTGACAGGAGGGAGTTTGAACTATGGCAACCTGCGTCCATGCCGCCGGTCAGTTGCTGTGTTACAGTTCGTTCAGCATGAGTGAAGCTGTGTGGCTCGGAGATTGCTTTGTCAAATGTGGTAGTAGGGCATGCGTGGGCTGGATCGATGGAGGTCGCCAACGCGATCGAGCTTCCGTCTCCATGTGACGTTGAGTCTCTGTGGGGATTGATCTTCTCGTCATCAAATGAGGTGAGTCCACACGTGTTATCGTCCATATCAAGGTTGAGAAATCGATCCCAATCCTCCCATGTGCCGCATGCCACCGACTCGATTGTGGAGAACCTCCCATTTTGCTGGGTCGCATTATCAATGCTCAAGCTGTGTATTGATTGTTGCATAATACATGTCCTATATCCGATACCCGGGTGCTTTAGTTGTCGGTGTTCTTGTGGGTTATTTGAGGGTCCAGTGAATTGGAATAGTCGCTCGGTTGGTCTGGGATACGTAGAATGATGGGTGGGCGTAGGTGGAGTAGAGTAAGTAATTACTTGGGATCCAAGAGATCGTGAGTAAGTAAGGAGTCACCCGATAACCAGAGGTGATTTGAAGAGCGATGCACTCTTTCCGCCCCGCTAGCCCCACATAGTAGCGGCTAGCATAGAGGATGGAATTTGTTATTGGGCCGATAGCAATGCTCGCAGGTTTAAATTTCTAAATCCAACCCTGACTCTCCTCGGAGCCATATTTTTGTACTATAAAGCATAAGTCTAACCCGATTTTCATCAGCAAGGCCTGCTGGCCCAATGGTAAGGCGCTTGACTACGAATCAAGAGATTGCAGGTTCGAGCCCTGCGTAGGTCATTCCTTTTTGCCTTTTTGCCTGTGTTATATCTATCTGCCACGGGTTGGAGATGTTGATAAGAGGTGTGTGTGCAAGCACCCGATAACTCAATTGCGTGCTGGTTGTGGTGTTCGATGGACAAAAAAGGGTTTCGACCTCTATGCACTCTGTGTTGGACTCCAGTTGATCCTGGGGGAACAATAGGATCTGTCTCTATAGAGTTCTGTTCAGACAAACTCCGCGTATCTTCAGTGGGGTGAGGTAGAAAGTATGTATATTAATGTTCCCGCACAGCTTGCGCGTGTAGCTACAGCAGTTAATTGGGACATTGCACTATTGACTCTGCAACAAGTGCCTTCAATGTACAACATGGCCAACCGCGTCCAGGCATGTTGCTGTGAGTTCCTGTCCGGCCGAAAAAAAGCAGCCTGACACACAGCTTACTTGATCTTTTAGTGGATTAAGTTCGAGATATCTCAGTAGACCGTCCGGTCCGCGGACTGGGTGAAATCTTATATTATTATCAGATTTCACGTCTGCATTGCATCATTCGGTCTGACCAGTATATTGATCGCTTCTGGCCCCGAGACCAATGCCGCCTGTGCATATTAGCATATGGTGCAGGTCTCGAGCTCTCTCGGCGAGCCACCGATACTTTTGTGTATGCTGATGCTGTGCGCTATCTCTGGCTATAGACCAATGCTGTGATCATCACGGCATATATATGTGAGTGATACATCAGCTGGCCTGCTGGCCCAATGGTAAGGCGCTTGACTACGAATCAAGAGATTGCAGGTTCGAGCCCTGCGTAGGTCATTACTTTTTGCTTTCATTGCATATTATCTATGTCTCTTATAGAAGACCTCTCTGGAACATGTTTTTGGTCCAATGCCGAGTCAGTTCATCATGGGGTCACACCCACTTACTAATTTCTGGGTGGGCTTTGCGGCGGACAATAAGATGGCCGTCTACTTCGCATGGTATTGTGTAGGATGGACATTTTTGGGTTTTCTTCTAATTCTCAGGTTTTGAACTGCGCACTGTCGACCCCGTGATTGCTCTAGTCAACAGGTATAATCGATTTATATCGGGGTCGTGGATATATGTTTCCAGTATACTAGATATACTAAATGAATTTGTACATAGGCCTGCAGATAAAATTTAAGTACTATACTAGGAGACACCTGTTGGTACAACCTCCCATACTGTATACCAAGTTGCCTATAGTAATATACCCGGCGAATGTCAGGCACACAAATTTTTCTGAGAAATATGAGGAGGTCAATGGTATTGAACTGGGTAGGATGTGGCCGATTGCATTGGGGCAAAAAATGCAAAAAGTAATGACCTACGCAGGGCTCGAACCTGCAATCTCTTGATTCGTAGTCAAGCGCCTTACCATTGGGCCAGCAGGCCTTGCTGATTGATGGTTTCTCCTAGCTGTGCTACCAGTTCCAAAACCTAGCAGTACGGGAATGACATTAGGGCAACGTTCGGTTCCTGGTTACTACCCTTACAACATACATCAACCTCAACCTCAGAGTATCTGCCACCAATAGCCAAATCTTCCGAGTACATGAGACACCAAAAAATTGACCCTCCTACAATTACCTCTTGGAAAAGCATAGACCTGCCAGATATTGAGTCGACAAAGTACCCAGTGCACATTGATTTCTTCCATTTCTCACACATAAGCACCCGCCAAGCGCAGCTTTCGCCCCAGGATACAAACACAACCCACGAGTTCCTTACGCCGGATCTAGAGGCGGTCGAAGTCCCTCCCGGGAACAAGATCGAAGATCCCCTGCAGCCACAGCAGCAACTTCTTCCAATCCTTCCTCTTGAAAGCCTCCGGCCGCCGCCTTCCGCCGATTTTCCGCCAACCGGGCCTCCCGACGTTCCCCAGAATCTCGGGAGCCGCGCGCACGACAAACTCCAGGTATCGCGGGTCAGGCTGGCAAGCGGCGTGCCTTGCGAGGGGCTCGCGGTGATACCAGGTCGGCTGCAGCATGCCGATGGCCACGGCGCGGAGATCGGACCCATTCTCCATCACCGCCCGCATGAACTGGAGTCGATGCGGGCTGGCGCTGATGTACTGGAAGGCGTTGAAGTGCCCGAACGTGGCCCCTTTGGATAGGAGCGAGCGAACGATGGAATCTACCAGGATGAGCTCTCTCTGTGAATGGGAGCTCCAGCAGTAGTGGTAGTTGCACAGAATGTCCAATGGCAGTGGGCTGCACTCGGGGAACAATTGCTCCTCACCGGGCACGAGCCTGACGTCAATGTCAGGATGGTCCAGCAACAGTTGCACTATCTCCAACCTGTCACTGCGCGCGGCTCAGGGCAGTAAGGGCCAGCCCTGCAGCCCGTAGGCATTGGGACTCACGCCGACGCGCAAATAACCCTCAACAAGAGAGTAATTCCCAGCTTCAACCGCTTCGAAGAGGGGTTCACGGAAGGGAATAGGGTATAGATCTGTCTGCCAGTCCTTGTAGAGGGCTCGGCCGTCTCGATCGATCCAGAGCAGCTTACGGTACTCATCCAGGGTCGCCAGTGCAAACTGCCGGGCTTCCTTTCGGAGCAGTGGACGAAGCATCAGATACAGATACTTGCAAGTCTGGCTGAAATTGGCTAGCTCTCGATTCGTCATATGCTCAAAGCACTCGAGGAATATCTCCGCTGGCAATCTAGCCAGCTCAAGGGAGCGCCACTGGCGATCATCCTCCAACACAATAGCTGGAGACTATGGATACTCAGGGCCATGGTAGTACATACCCTCCAAGCTTTCCACCGGATTCATATTCTCGACTGCCCTGTTGGCTATACCCCACCAATGTTCGTCGTTGCTCAAGTCGTCCATCATATAACAGCGCTGGGGTAGACAAAGGCCCAATATTTGCAGTCCACAGGCAAACCGACGTTTCTACGTCTTGCGACTATATATTCGTTGATCTACCTTCAGACTGGCCGAGCTGTAGATCAACAAAGACCCTTTTCAGGGGAATATCTGTCATTATCCTCGAGCTCCCATAGTTGGTGATTCAGCGATGCCTTTGTTCTGGAGTAGAGTCGCGGTATATCCCTTACACTGTACCTAGCACCTGATCAGAACGAAACTTATTGGTAAGTCTCGAAATCAACAAAGAAATACGCGTTTGAACTTTGCGAAAGAAGCCAATGCACCTTTTGTTTGGGATTTGAACAGTGATTTGGCGGTCGTGTCTATTGCCCTCTCCCAAAGCCATTGTGTTGATGTGAAATTCTCCTGTTCAGAAGGACATATCGGAGTGGGTGATTATGCACACTCGATCAAATGAGCAGTTCGCATGCAGAGCTCACTGAGTCTTTCAATGTCCTTGTTTTAGCCACCGCAAATATTAACACCCGAACGATGCCCGCGCATCGCAGTGCTCGAGCTCATAGTGACACCTCCAGGAAGGACGCGGTTTTGATATTGAGTACAGCATATACACAAGACTGACAGCATGGTCGCTGCTAATGATTTACAAGACCGAGACTGGCTATCCAGAAGGGTTGGGTGGGTTGCCTGGCTCAAGCGACCCTCAATAAACCCAAGGTAAACGCAACGACCCCAGATGCAGCCATGATCGGCGCACTGATGTACCTTGCTGCCGACTCGGAATTTGTACTCGCCGCCGCCGCCCCAGTTGCGGTGCTGCTCGACTTCCCACTATCCGCCGTTGCTGTAGCTGTAGCTGCCATGGCGGTGACAGGGTGGGGGATCGTGCCCAACGTCCAGGTGAAAGTACTTCCACTAATGGGGGTTGAGATGACACCCCCGGTGTTTGAAAGCGTCTCGGTCCCGTTCGCAGGTAGGTCTCCCGGTTTGTAGAATTGAGTGGTGTTACCAGCCGACGGGGCACCATAACCCAGTGCACCCGCACAGTCATAATTCTCGAGATAGGGCCCACAGATGTCCCAGTCATGAGCGATCACAGCGTTGTACCAGGCATCTGCACCCAACAATGCCGGCTGCGTGTTGGGACATACGCCCCATATCCTAGATACTGTCAGCGATCCCGCCTGTGCACTCGGCGATGGGGTAGATAGAAGAGGACAACTTACGTGGAGATGATAGCACTTTTCCCACAGCAAACACAAGCTCGCCCGTAGTCGGAGATGTCCTCCGCGCTCGTTAGCTGATCGAGGTTCGTCATATTGTTCGCACACGTTGTCATCTGGTCCGCAATAAACAACTCCCGCTGATCAACCTTGCCTATGTTGCATGAACAGCCAGCGGGGGCGTCGTCGGGAGGCGGCCAGAAAGGGAGCTGAGTGACATTCACGGAGGGGCATAGGTCGATCAGGTCTTCAATTGTTTTTTGGTACTCGCATGAGTAAACCTATCCATTTCCCGAACCCCTTTAGGTCAGCTTTGAATGCCTGAGCTACTTGAGAGTGTCTGCTACATACCTGATTCCAACAAGCAGAAGCCGCGCAGTCGATTTCGCGAGATGTTTTCACACACCCACACACATTGATACAATCAATGCCCAAATTTGGACATTGACTCTGCATGCAGGCCGTATCACCTCCGCAGGAATTATAGCACTCATCTGAGCCACCGGCACAGTTCTTCGTTATGCACTGAGCGTAATATTCGGATGCATCATCGTAGCACGATTCGAGCGCTGATGGGGCCACGCAGTTGGATGAGTCGAAGTATCCGGCCTGCTTCGATACCACCACTTGAGATAACGTCGCTGCAATGGCAAGCCAAGCTCCCGTAGAGAAAGCCATGATGTTTGCGTTGTTGGAAAACGGTTCACTTATCATCATCTTGGGAGGGGATCTTGGTTTATATCCTCCTCCGACCCCAATTGGGTAGGTCGGAATATCTGCGGAGAACGATCGGGCAAATATTCAGGGTCTAAGGTCAGGGACCGGTTGAAGTGATGGGCGGCCATCTCAATCGACGGCTCCTCTTGGCACAGGCTGTAGCCAGGTCTATTCACCGATTCAGGCAATGAGCGGAGGGATCCCGACAAGAAAGGTCCTAGGCCAAGGAAGGAGCCTGACTCGCTAGACCAACCAGCTGATCGGATACGAGGACCTGCAGGAGAAACATGGGGCTTGGCGCAGTGGAATTGGACCGGGCCACCAACCACAGACTTGCGGAGGCCGATAGAACTACTGTGTAAGTGACCAGGCTGCGAATGCGGGGATGAGATTGAGCTGGCAGTATTCCGTTGGCAGGTGCCGATTTGTGCGAAGATGGCTTGTTTGGGGTTGCCTATGAATTGCACAAGTTTGCACCGGTCGACTGAATTTCCGTCTCTGGTTTAGTTCTTGTTGACCGTCAGAATAGTGAAGATTGACTATAGCCATGTTTGCTTAGTTGATGGGTCATTATAGAAAATAGAATAGCGTACACCATAAGTGTGATGTGAGTCACAAATCAAAGACAAGACAAGGGGAGCATTATGTTTCCGGGGGGGGGGGGCGGAGCGATATGGGAAGGAAACATACAGGTAAGGATGTTAATACAACGTAGCCCAGACCAGATCAATGAAGACATTTCATCTGAGGACTATCCCTCAGTATCCGTCTTTTGACATTGCGTGCCATCTCTTGTTCCTCTGAACCACAGAGTCTCGTCTCAAACCCGTGGATCTAGCTCATCAATCCGTGCAATGGCATGGGATTCAGAGCCGTAGATGACACTTTAATCGAACAAGGATGAGCAGCCTAGCGCAAAGACTTTGAGAGGCAGCGGTGTTGAAGTCGGTTGGATGGCGCTACAGGCCTTTGAAGTGACCAACAGCGACCGTAGCCTTGGCAGCTGGAGGACCAGATGGTTCATCTTGGCGTGAGCCAACACTCAATTCGCTTGCACAAGTGCAAAACGTCGATGGTGAAGGCCAAGCTTGGAGTGATGTGCTGAGCAAGCCGGACATCAACATCAACGAACTGAAGGGCTGCACGAATACGGGGGATTGACTTCGACAGGCATAGAGTGTCACCTCGCTTACTCTGCGCGTGATGCCTTGTAGCTGTAGCTGAATGCGGGGAGGCCTGATGAATTTCTGTTCCTTTGCATCTGGTCAGCCTCGTATGGTTGTTGCTGAGGCTTTGAAGTCTGGGCTGTGGCTGTGGGAGGAGTTGTTGATGTTGTTGATTGCTTTTCAGTTTGCTTGTTGAGCCGATCTGGTTCTTCCTTCCCTTCTCAACCGCCGCCTTCGCAACTCTCTTGACAAACAACAATCAAGCAATTGATATGGCCCACCATCGTTTCCCTGAGTTCATCTAACTCAACCCTCGATGATGTTCTGTATCCATCTCGGATTTAAACCTTCAGCTCAGTCAAATCACCATGGCAGAGCGGCGTTCGCTACTCGTATTCCCGATCACTGATCGCTCGTCACAGAAGCCATCGTGACGAAGACTGGCCGATGAGCCTCCTCAAAATGAGACCACAGGGCTGAGAACAAAGTTTTGTTTTAGTACAGAGATGTGGCAGCTGAGCTGAACGCTAATGTTGACGAATGGCCTTCGCCGCCCCGAGCACGCCTGTCAGATGCACTCAATCAATATAAATATAAGCACTATCCCCAGGCCACAATGGACCCCCTCAGGAGCTTGAACGAGGCATCCTGGTTCTCGAAACCCGTTTTCTTTTGAGACATAGTCCCATTTATCCCAGCATATAGATACTATCTGTATATATACAGCATGACACGCCTCGAGCGCAGTTCCTACAAACGGCTCATTGTCTGCTGCGACGGTCTGAAGTCACCGTATACCTTTGATGCCATGCAATCTGGTCGCTAATACACCCCTTTAGGCACCTGGCAAGACTCCACAGCCGACTCAGCGGACCCGCCGTCCAACGTGACCCGATTGAGTCGAACACTCAGTCAGACAGCGATCGTGGAAGAGAATGGTGTCAGGAAAGAAGTCCCGCAGATCGTCTACTATCAAAAGGGGGTTGGTACCGGGCTCGGTGACAAATACATGGGCGGTATGTAAGCCTCGTTGCCACCTTATTTGTCTCGTCATAATCAATTACCTCCCCCATTGTTGCCTCGCACTGACACGGGTTTGTGCTTTGGTGCTCCAGGCGTCACCGGATTAGGCGTGAGCGCCAACGTCCGCGCCGCATACGGCTTCCTGACCGACAACTACACCGAAGGCGACGAGATCTTCTTCTTCGGCTTCTCTCGCGGCGCCTACACCGCGCGCGCGATCGCGGGCCTCGTCTGCCGCTGGGGACTGCTGACGCACCGCGGCATGGACAACTTCACCAATGTGTACGACGACTTCTACGAGAAGCAGGTCCCGGACTACACGCCCGAGGAACGACGCCAGCTGGGGTTCCGCGAGGAGCTGCCGCCCTTCACCGTCAAGATCATCGGCGTCTGGGACACGGTGGGGTTCCAAAAGGCCTGGCTCGGCAAGGACCTGGGCGAGCGCCTGGAACTCCGGAACACCTACCTGCTCCCGAACGTCAAATATGCCTTCCACGCCCTGGCGCTGGATGAAGAGCGCACTGCCTACTCCCCGATCCTCTGGCATGTGCCGCGCCCGAACCCCGGCCAGGAGCTGCTCCAGGTCTGGTTCTCCGGCGTCCACACGGACGTCGGGGGCGGCGGGAAGGACCCCCACCTGGCGAACATCTCCCTGGCGTGGATGATCGCCCAGTGTATGAAGGACGGCCAGCTCAGCTTCGATATCGACGAGTATCTCTTCGATGTCCCCCCGCGGGTGGCGGAGAGCGACCTCGCTCCGTGGGCGACCAGTCAAGGCAAGACCGACACGGCGAGTCTGGTCCGCACGCTGGAGGGCGTTTTTGGCGGCACCTCGCACCGGACGCCTCTCGGATATAATCCCAAGGGCGAGGAAAGCGACTTCACCGGGGAGTACATCCATGAGTCGATCAATGATCGCAAGCTGCGCGGCTGGAGCTGGCCCTGTGCTCTCCTGAAGGGAAAAAGGGACAATGGTGCTTGGACCCTGGCGGACTCCAAGACAATTTTGGAGGTTCGCGCATTGGAGAGAGAAAGGTATATGAAAGGCAGAATCCGGACAGTCCACGTTGAGGAGGTGGATTAGACTGTTCCTCGGTCGACTGAATTGCGGCTGCAGCCCGGACGGCGATTTTGAGGTTTGTTGGCGTCAAATATCCTTGGAGTCTACTCCGTAGATTGCGTATTTTTGGAGTTTGGTATCTGTTATTGTTACCAATGCCCCTTCTTCATTCGAGGTATACTTATCGAGTGAATTGTGTTACGTGTGGTGGATTGCATAGATAAATTCACAAAGGAGGATTAAATAATGCTAGGTTAATAGCCGAGATAGTTGCGTAGTAGTTACTAATCTCTACTTAGATGAAGTAGACATCACAAGAATCATAATAATGAGATTAGAAATTCATCCGTGGGAAAAGAGCATATTCATTCGTAGCTGTAATGCCTCGTCATTCGTCACACTAGGCGGACCGGCTAGACACCAAGTAATGAAACTACCATCCTCATCATTGTTCATGCGTTTTCATTGCTAAACCAAATAAAGTAGTCATCCATCCTCATGCCTAAAAGCGATCATGTTGTGTGACACGACCCACTAGCATGGCCCCTTTTCTTCGAAGTCAATATCCTCATAAGGATTGCATTATTCATTAGAACCAGTAAACTTGAACGATCAACTTTTCACGAGAGAAGCTTTAACCCCGCAGAAGCCTGGCGCGGCGCGACAGCGGCGCGATCTTGCGGATAATGGGATCGTGCGGCGAGGTCTCGGCCACCGACATGTAGAGCGCTTCCAGTCGTTGGATAAGGATGTCCATGATTTTAGGAGCGACTTCACGGATATCAGGGTCCTGATGAGAATGTTAACGTAGATCTTAAATCTAGCTTGTCATGGAAAATATACCATTGGATTCACCGTTTGCAAAACTACTTCCAGCCAAGTCAAGCGCTCCATAGGGTTGGTCTGCAACGAGGAGGTCACAGCAACACCCACAGACAGGGCCACGATGGGCGACAGACTAGTCAGGTAGGACGGGTTCATGCGAACAAAAAGGTTGTCAAACAGATCCGCTTGCTGAGTTGATTGCAACCACTACTGCCGTTAGCATGCTGAACTGACCGAATAACACTAGTTAACTAACCTTGACTGATCCCTCCTCGAAGTGACCTTGGCTCATCAACTGCGCAATCTCCTGCAGCTCAATCTGCTCGGGAGTTCTTGTGTCAACAGAGGCGCTACGGGCAGGGGCGGTCGGCCGCTGTTGCTGTTGCTGCCGCTCGACCACATTCTCCTTGGTGGCCAAGGCATGGCTAAGCTTGACAACCTCATTCTGCAAGCCGGTCTGGGCCGCAGCGAGCGTGGCTACCGTGTCAGAGAGTCCACGAACAAGCGAAGTGAGCTGCTCGATCTTGGCAGCATCGCTCTGGCGCTGGGCTTCGAATTGCTTCCACTGAGCCTGCATCTGCTTCTCCATACTGACGACAACCTTGTCTGCAGTCTGCACGGCAACGTTCTCAATGGCTGGTGTGATTGTGCTTTGCATGGCCTTCGATATCTCGCTTTCAACACGGGGAGCGAGCTTCTGGCCCACCGCGTCCGACAGTACTTTCATCAAATCGGGCTGCTGCATGGCACGAGTAACCGCCTCTGGGAGAGCTTGGCGCACCTCACGAGGGACCACAGATCCCAGCTGCTGAGACAGAACGCCGTTAAGCTGCTTACCAACGACTGTGGCAGTGAGATCAGTCAGAGCAGGCACAACCTCTGATTTGATGCTGTTAGAGACAATGCGTGCAAGGTTCTTCTCCACGTTATCCGAAAGAGTACTTGAAACAAGACGCAAGACCTGGTCTTGTTTGGCTGCCGAGGCCGCATCCCAGTTGCGGCGCTCCTCGTCGAAGCGGGTGTACAGTCCTTCCAACTCGCGACCAAGGCTTTTGGTGAATTCTGTGGACACGCCGTTCTGCAGCACCTCCAGATGTTTGTTTAGGATAGCAGCCGAGTCATCGAAACCAGCGCCGGAAGCCACAGGAGCAGCTAGAGACACTGCCTGAGGGACGCTTGAGATGACGGGAGCTTCTTCAACGGCTGGCTCATTGTCCGCGATACCTTGCGTGGGAGCAGGAACTTCACTAGACGGACCGTCGTTTGAGAGCACGGGCTCCTTGCCCTTTGCGGACGGCTCACTCGTGCCTGGGACGGCACTCTTCTTCTTTTTCTTCTTCTCTGCCTTATCGACACCATTGATGGCAGAAACGCTTTCAACTGGCTCATCCTTTTTCTTAGCAGGTGCCTTGGTTGGGGACTGCACGCGAGAGACACTGGGACCAGCTCCAACAGCAGCTTCGGTGTTGAGCTCAGGCACCTTCTTGATGATCTCCTTAGCCGCCGGCTTGGTGGGAGTCGGAGCCGCATCACCATTGACCGATGGCTCGTCTGCCACGTAAGTGGGGAAGGTCTGCAGCTCAGCGATATCGATGAGCCCTTCCTCCAAAGCATTGACGGGACGGACAATCTTATTGTCGGTGGTCCATCCCAAATCTTCCTTCTTTATGTTCAAGCATGTGACTCCACGCGAGTGCATGACGTACAGCTCAAACAGACCGCTCTCATCCCCAGCCGACTTAGTGATGGGGAGGAGATCCAGGCTTCGCAGCTGGCCCTTGGAAGCAAAGGAGATTTCGCGAATGCCGCTCATGCAAGCGGTGGACTCAGGCTTGGGAAGGCTGCTATCCTTCTCCCCAGAGCGCTTGATGAAGGAGGCTTGCGACATCGCCTGAAGGTTATACCGAGGCGCAGAGAGGTGAACGAAGTAGATAGAATTGCGGGTCGGGTGACCAACAACGATGATGCCAGACGCGGGGTGGTAGGCGACACTGCAGATGGCGTCCGACTCGTTCTCATGAGGAAATTTGAGCTCCTGCACAGCCTTACCCAGCCCAATATCCCAGAGCTGCAAGGTGTGGTTCTGCTTCAAGCCCACCAGAACGTAGCGAAGCGCCATCGACTTAACATAAGGACGCAGCTTGTCGATGAAGAGGACGGAGGTCGGCCATGACTTCTCTGCGGGAGAGCCCGTGACGAACGTATTCAAGGGCACCCGAACCTCAGCCGGGTTGGGCCCGGAGCCAAAAAAGCCTGGGTTGTTAACCACCTCGCGGATATCCCAGAAACGGAGGCGGCCCGTCTTATCAAGGGAGGCAATGACCGTGTCATCATCGCTGAACATGAAATCCTTGCCAGCCTTGCCGGTAGAGATCTTCAGAGCACGTTCTTTGAAGAACCTTTCCGTATTAACGACGCGCTGAGGTCCAGACACACCATAGCTAGGATGCATAGCAGCCTGAGGAGAGACCACGTAAATGTTCTTACCACGGCCAATGGCGAAGAAACCAGGATGGCGAGAGCTCCGTTTGGCCCGCGTTTTCAGCTGGCCCCCCGAAGTGTTCTCATCCGAAGCCGGGAAAGGAGGGAAGATGAGGCTCTCGCTCTCGAGGGCGTCGAGATCAAAAAGATCCTTGTCTGCACGAGAGATCAACGCCCAGTACACGGTTCCACTGACGCCAATTCCCAGAATGGCCTGCTCCTCAGTGGTACGACCAGTAGCAGTCTGCGACGTGCATACTGCAACATTAAAGACGCGATCGCGGGTAGAACGGAAGATTTGCTTGTCACTTCCATCATCCTGACGAATGATGCGCATACCGCCGTTCTTCGCGAGTGCATACACGATGTAGTCCGAAGTTGCGGATGTCAAGGAGCGATCCAGCTGATCAAAATCCTTCTTCAGCCGAGCAATATCCATGATACCGTCATCGCGGAGGGTTGCGAGCTTCCCTGAATGAGCTTTGACGATAATAGAGATGAACGGCTTGAGAGGGAAGTTGTGTACAGAAACAATGCGCTCTTCTTCCTTTTCAGCACTGTCTTCAGCGCTCTCCCAGCTGTCCGCCAGTGCATCACCGCTGCTATTATTGGAAGTCTCCTTCACAGCAGCGGGGGTGGCGGTGCCCTCAATAGAGTTCCTATCTACGCTGCCCTCAAGCTTTGCTTCGGCAGCTGTCTCCTGGAGGTGACTAGCGATGGAGGATAACGCAGCCTGAGTGCTGTCCTCCTGGGCAGCAGGGAGCTGGGTGACTTTCTCGTCGGTTGGTTTGTTAGTGGCGTTGTCAATTTCACGACCGATCTCGTCGACAAGACGCTCAACAACAGAGTTAACGGCTTCTCTCTGCTCTTCAGCCAGAATAGGCGATTTGAGGCCTTCAGTTTGTGGGGTCTCAACAGCCTCTGAAGCCAAAGACGGTTCAACCTTAGTGGCGATAGTGATCTTCTTGCTTTTCATGATCTCAATAGCTGGACTCTCGCTCCGAGGATTGGCTTGCGGAGTGACCTTGCGAGGAGATGCGGCAGCCAGCTGCTCAAACGGGTTGACATAGGTGAACATCGAGTCCTTGCCCGCAGCAGGTTTGTCAAGCGCAGAAGGTCCTGCCTCATCCGGGGACACCAAGGGTTCCTCCAGTTCTTCAGTGGGAGACTTAAGGATGTTGCTCAGCTCCGCCTCGGGAACAGGAGACGTTTGGGACGCAACGATCGAGGGAGACTGAGAAACAGCCTTGACAGGCCCGTCGGAAACGTCCTGGCTAGACTTGGGACGGTTCAGAAGACGCAGCAACATCTCCTGGGTGTTCTCAGCGGTCGGACCGGCAGACGCAGAGCCCTCGCCCGTGCCAGCACCAGCTGGACCGGAAATGGACCCCGAAGGCCTGACCGGAGCGGCTGCAGCACCTTGTCCCTGGCCACCAAAGAGCGACGCAACCAAATCAGAGGCGGAAATATTTCTCGCGTGGGCGTTCGACTGCTCCTCCAGGCCAGCTGCACGAGGCTGTAGGTAAGTGGGCTGTTCAGCGCCAGGAACCGGAGCCTGCTGTTGCTGGGGGGCGGAAGGAGTGGTAGGCTGGTTGAACTTGAGCAAGTTCAACAGATTCACCGCACGGTCGGGATTATGAGGCAAGGACTGGTAATGTTGTTGGTGCTGCTGCTGCTGAGGCGGCGGGGGTTGATGAAAATACATATCGCCACGGGGAGTCGGAACATTAGGACTAAGGATATCCGAGCCGTGGTGTGGAGGAGTATTCACGGAAGGAGACGGACTGTGAATGTTCGACGAGACCGACGGGTGACGGTAGCCATGAAGCTGCTGCTGCTGTTGCTGCAGCTGCGGGTGAGGGTAACCCTGGCCATCGTACTGCGGCTGGTGCTGCTGCGGATGCTGCGAGCGGTAACCCTGCTGATACTGCACGGGATACGGCGGCATGGAAGCATCATGAGCAGGGGTGCCCGAGGGCGAGGGGCGGGGCCTGATGCTGGCCAAGAGGGCCTGAAGATCGTTGGGGGTGGACATTTCTGTCGCTCGCCAATCAAAGAGGGCGACCTCCAAAGCAAATTCAAGCTCCGAGGTAAATCAGGAGTAGCTCTCTTTCGAGAGCCAGCAAAGCAAGAGAGAGAGAGAGAGCGGGTGTAAAAAGAACAGCCCGGACTCGGCGCAATCAATTAAAGAATGCAAGCTAAAGGGAGCAGAACAAGGAGAAGGAGAAGGAGAAGGAGAAAGAATCAAAAGGCAAAGGACGGACTATTGTACATGGGACGAGAATGAAGGGGGAGAGAAGAGTGGGAGAGTGGAGGAGGAGGAGGAGGAGGAGGGAAGAAGAAGTGAAGGAAAGAGAAGAGGAAGGAGAGAGAGAGAGAGAGAGAGAGAGAGAGAGAGGAAAAAGCTCGGAGGAAGCGAGAATTGGAGGTAAGCGGGAAGATGAGCTGGTGGTAATTTGTGGCGGTGGAAGGTGGATGAGGTGTGTGGCTCATGCAGAAATAACCGTAAGATTACACAATGACGGTATCGGTAACTAACCGCCGGACTATCTCATGGCTGTGAACTCGGAATGATGATAGAAGATGTTGAACAACCAACTACCTTAGCAACATCCACAAACTAAACCTCTCTCCATTCCACAACATTCACACACGGAGATTATGAATGCGCACTCTCAATGAGATGATCTTGTTCCATCACCTTGAGACTCTTCCCGTTACTCTACTCCCATCTCTCTAAGGAACTCTTCGCGCAACTCCTGTTCGCCACTGATTTCATCCGTTCACCGTCCGATCAGAACAGCCGACTACCTTCTCAATAAAACCACATTCACCATGTTCTGCCTGCGGAGGTAAGGCGTTTACCTCTAAGCCATCCATCTATCCATCCCCCGCCCACAACCCACACCGCTCACCTCGGCTCTCATGCATTCATCTTCTAACCTAATCATCATACTGATCAACTCTTGTCTTCTAGCTGGCTTCCCCTCTTCTTCATCCCCACCAACGCCTCCCCCCTCTTCATCATCTCCTTCGTGACCCTGACCTACATCCTCCACCGACCGTGCATTTACTGCTCCGGGCTGCTCCTCATCCTCTTCATCTCCTCCTGCCACTGGTCCGACCGATGTTTCTTCGACCTCCGCGGCGACTGGTTCAGTCCGCGCTACACCCCCCCGGCCGCCGCGCCCACCTCATGCCCGGTCAGTCCCGCCAACGAGACCCTAGCCGGGTATCTCCTGGAGACGGTGACCTCCACCGCCAAGACCCTCTCCGGGGCCGTCATCGATGAGGCGCAGCGGCGGCTCGCGCTGAACCAATCGGCCGAGGTCGGTGTACCGCAAGAATGGACGGGTATTGGCATGGAGTGGGTGCGGAGTCTGCTGGGGCGGAGGGAGTGGACCTTGCCGTGCGTGGATGTCAAGGTGAGGCTCTAAGTGGTATGGGAGATGCGGAGGGTTTTCGATCCAGGGAGGAAAAACATATATTGGGCGGTTGGGGTCATTGCTCTGTCTACATATGTATTGGCCGTGGACACTTCGGGGTCCTTATTCCTTGATTCGCGGGGGAGCGATAGAAGGAGAGCTTGCTTGAACACGGGAGCATGATTCAGACCCAGCGAGGCGGTTCATCGTATGACCCTTTGATGCGCTGTATGATGTTCGCTGCAGGTACGTTGCGAGTTCTCGCGAAGGAGAAAGATCGCCTTTCAGGATGAAGAACTATCTAGCCTGGTATCCGTCGACACGATAGTGGGTGAGGCGTTGGTGATTCCGATTCAATCTGTACATAGCCTGTATTGAAGTTTATTCCTGTCTCTTATTCTTAGGAATCAATCCTGATGATATGTCATCTGGATTTGGAACTCGCTCAAAGGCGCCCCGCAAGTGCCCTGACGCAGTCATTACGTGAGACGGAAAGTTTGGTGTATGTGTCCTTTCTAGAATAATGTACTTTGCGTGTACCTGGAGTAAAATGGGACACGAGCAAGTTGTTCACAGAAGGTCTTTAGAAGTGGTGACACGTACAGCGGTTAGCGAATGACCAGAGTGACCAAGACTGGAATCATGTAACTCGACGTCTCCTGCGTACGTCCTATTCAACATCAAGTCGACTAATTACAATACAGATAGGTATCTAATGCAAGGTGAAAAGAAATGGAGACAGGAAGACAGTAAATATAGCCGACGGTGATCCTTCGGGCTCACTCGCCGCGGTAAGTCATCATTAGAACATAACTCACACCGAGGCACATTAGCAGAACATCATCAAACATAAGGTGAAATAGGTATCACACAAAACATGGCAAACATACGGGTCTTCCGCAAGACGCAGTTGCAGATGCGACGCAAGGGAGAACAAAATCCAAATGGGTATTGAGGCACTATATGTGCAAGGATCGTAGAGAAGAAACATGGAAACAAGATGTGAGCAATGATCACAAAGACATGAAGGAGATCCTGATAGGGTTCCCTTGGTCTAATGGTAGCCTCCAGGGGTTGACATCGGCATGGGCCAGTCATCCTCCGTGATGCTACTCCAGAAGAACCACACAGCGACTACCGCCAGTAACGTGAACAGCGTCTCGAACAGCGCACCATTAATTTTCCCGCTCGATGCTTCGCACAGATGAACGCTGATCACGTATTCGAAGATCTGCCCAATGGCGAATAGGAGTGCGGCGGCCGTCAAGTAGACTGCAGCAAAGTCAGAATCATGAAGTATAAAACAAGTGCGGAGGAACATACTCAACGGCCGAAATTCGCCAAGAACTCGCACCACCAAGATAACTTCGAAAACATAGAACAAGACGAGACAGACAAGCGGGAAGAGCTGGTACAGCACATAAAGGGCAATGTTGCGATAGTGGTTCGAGGATGTAGTTGCGAATTCGCCTGTCCAGTCGAAAGCCGTATCCAAGGCAATATATCCCGTGCCGATGAAGAGGACAAGACCGGAGGCGACAATTAAGCCGATAGAAGCGGGTGTGCCGTCGTCAAGGAATTGAAAGCCCACCAGAGCATTAAGCAGAAGAATCCAGCATGTCGCAGTGATAGCAGCAATATGTACCGCCGAGAAACCCTGTATGATACATGAATGAGGCGCCGAGCATCGCGGACAAGCTGGGCAAACTAACCTTTCGGACCGCACCGTCCAGAGGAAATCCACCCACGGAGAAGATCTCGCAGATTTCGATTATGAGAAAGCCAAACAAGAATAATTGAATCTCCCTGCTCCAATTAGTTCCCCTTCTAGTCCCGATATCCTAAATTTGTTCTTGTTGCGTACCTTCTTCCGACTGCGGCTCGTTTGCGGTCAGATCTGAAGAGCAGGAAAAGTGTAGTCAGGATGGAGATGAATGCCAGGAGAATTGAACCTGGTGCGCGTCAGTTGAGATCAACCTTCCCTCTCCACTATCATGCCATACCCAAATTGCTGAGATATCGGTCACCACTGAGCTCAATGCCCTTGAGTACACATCCACCATAAGCTTTGTTTGGAGGTTGATTATTTGAGACAAATAGCTGAAGATGGCAATGGTTAGCGATGTCCCGAGGTCCGAGTGAGACATGGTGAGGAGGATTACATACATTGCAGACTGGTAAGGTGGAATCGCGACAAAAGTCCTACACGTGCAAATCGGCCACGGTCAGTCCAAGCTCGAGTTGCAGCTCAATTGGGAACCCACGTTGAAATTGCCAAACTGCGTTGAACCCATGATTAAGACGGGCTCAGCAACATGCGACAGAGGTCAGGCCGTGAGGAGCAGCGAAGAAGTAAAAGTGGTGATTCGAGAGGTAATGATGATGGCAGTGGTGACTGAATTAGTTGGTTTTCCCTGCCTGGACCCACGCCGGTCACGATAGCTCCGCCGCAGATCGCTGTTCAGGAAATGCGAAAAGTCAAGATTAGGATTATGAGAGCCTTGTCGATCGCAAGATCGTCCCGCTTGAAGATAATGAAAAGCAAAAAAGCAAAAGAGAAACAAAGGTAAAGCCTAAAGAGAAGATAGGCGAAAGACGAATTAAATTAGGTAGTCGCCGGATCAGACACGGGATAGCGGACACGTTGGGTTGGCAATTAGTCGTGCAGTAGCTCGGACAGAGACCGGGTTGAAGCAAGACGACAGAGATGGAGGAGCGAAAGACGTGAAGAATCAGAAACAATTCTGGACAAGATGATTGGCAGAATGCAAAAGAGAGATGGAGAGCGTCAGGCTGTCAGCGTATATGTCAAACACCGGTGCTGATTAAGACGTGGATTAAGACGTGGGGGGGAGCGGAAATATGGAAGAGTAATGGATCAGTATCGAAGGACTGGGAAGTGGTGAAGGTGGTGAAGGTTGGTGGGCGATGCTGGCGAGGACGAGCGAGAGAAGGAGAATTGTTGTCCGTACGTAGAGGGGAAAGCCGGCGGCTAAGAAGCAGGAAGATGATGGCGGTGTTGATGATGGTGATGAGGGGATAGCCAGGGAGAGAGAGAGAGACAACGAGGGAGAGAGGGAGAGGAGAGGGAGAGAGGGAGGAAGAAAGGTGAGAACGAAGGCAAGGCCGCAAGAGGTGTAACTAAGTTAGTGATAGTGAGGTAGGTAGGTTAGGTACAGACAGCACGTCCGTACTTTTTCGTGATCAATCAAGCAAGCAGTCAATCAGTTGTCCATGATCCAGGTAAACGAACGAGACATGGAAGACGAGGGACTAGACTAGACTAAACTATGAGTCGGCTAGACTCGACAGATGATGATTAGAGAGATTAGAGCGAGGAACGGGATTCTGGGTTTAGCCCGGGGCTAAAAGCGTGATGGAGACCGCAATACGGCATCCAGCAAATAGCAACGAATGGTCAGCCCTGGAGTGGAAAAGACAGCCCAGAATCCGGCCGGATGAACCGCCGTTGGGGGGGGGTCAAGAACAAGGACTAAATGAGAATTGACCAACAAGAGGAGGGAAAAAAACCCTGCAGGCAAATCCAGGAACCAAAACCTCACCAAAATATGAATTGCTACTCTTGTCACTGCACCAGCTGTCTTCCCCAGGAAATCGCTTCCTGCGGTTAACGACGCAAGATTTGAGCTACCATTTACATAGTTGAGAGGATTGACACCAGATTCGCACCTCTTGCTCTCTCTTCCTCTTGATTCTCTGTGGTTTGACTCCGTCAAAGATAATCGGGTGGTTCACTTCTTAGTTGATATCAAAAACTGGGAAAAAAAAAACAAAGAGAGGGTCGCCCTGGGCTGACCATGGATGACGAGGGCGATACCCACGGCTCCCAATCCCACTTCTATTTTAATCTCAGCTTTCCCCTCATGAAGAATGATGACGCTGGCCCGATTCCTGGCAGAGCCCGATTAGCGTTGACAGGCAGCATTCTTTTGCTACTTTCTTCCTAGTACGGACGGAGGACGGAGTGGGTGGAAGTGCTGGCGAATGTTGAAGGTATGGCATGGCACGTCGGGATGATTTCACCGCCATCCCGCCCCAGCCACAATTTGATGAGCACTCCATCATCATTATCAACCCAGGCTAACGGATCATGTTCATGATCCTGACGATCGACAGAGCTACCGGAGCTCCCTTCCTGGTCTCAATGTCTCAGATGAATCAACATCATTTATGCATCGCGCATTAATCACATACATGTGTTCATGCATCCTCGCCGACGGACAATCCACAGCGACGGCACGAACTCGTGGTTGTTCGGGGCTGTCTCCTATAGGCCGATTGTTCGTTGGCTCGGTTTCCCCAGGCTCCTGCGCTCCCTTGCGTAGACACCACTCGATGTTCCCAGGACCTTACTTGCTAATCAAAGTTGTAAAGTAAGAGCAAATCACCTGTCGGGAGTACAGACAGTTGGACTTCCACGTCTCAAGGAGAGTGTAAGTAAATTGAGCAGTACACTGCATGACAACTCACCCCGGCAGTGCTAGATGTTTATAATACGGCAAGAGGCGTGGTGCTTGGCCTTTAATATAATTGTCGCCAATGCAACCTTTCTGTTTAAACAATTGCGCCCACTAGCAAACGTCCTCAATTTCCAACTCCTTCCCATCATGCTCCCCCAAATCCAGCTTGAGAGTCCGTCCGAATAACTCGAGCAACATCTCAAAGCACACCTTGGTGATAGCAGGGTCATAACGTCCCTTGCTGAGCTCATCCCGGATAAAAGCATCTGTTCACATTAGCCCCAACCCTTCGCACCACCAAACCTAGAAACTATGATAGGGGGATGAAGGTAAAACTTACGCTGCGCCCAGGCCACCTCATAAAAGCTAAACAAGACCCCCTTCTCATGAAGTGTCTTGCGGATTAGATCCCTTCCCTCCGGAGGGACATGATTGTCGTTTTTACCGAAAATCTGCATTAACGTTAGTTCCCATGTTTGTTGTACTCACTTCCTCCCCCC